TAAATTTAGAGTCTCTGAAATACCATCTCCTGGACTTTGGGGAAGATTTGACAGAATTCTGATTGTCAGAAAACAGCGTTTTGGTATATATGTCGAAATTTACAATTTAGTAGTACTAAATGGCAGAATGCGTATTTAATTAACTATAAAGGGTGTCCCTAAAAATACGAAAACTATTGAAATCACCAATAACAATTTAATTGTTAGAATTTGAGTGCCTAAGCAGTCCGTTGGTTCCCATGAGTGCATAAATAATTGATATAAGTAAATTTTATGCATCAAGAAACTCTTTAAGAAGCTGCTTTAAATTCCCAATAGCAGAAAATCGCGCACTTTACAAGGAAATGTTCTTAACTAAATTTTAATACATGCACCTTGTCAATATTTTACGCATCATTACGTTCAGCTTTTTGATAGTGCATTCAATTTTAACAATAAGTGATTTCAATAGTTTTCGGTTTTTTTGGGACACCCTGGATAAGTTGCAGGAAAATATGGGTAATATCTTCATTCTTTGCAGTCATGGATTAAATAATAAAAGTCTGCATGATTTTGAAAAAAGAATGATTATTAGGAAATTATTGGGGGGGGGGGGGCTGCAGCCCCCAGCCCTCCCCCCCCCCGCTACGGCCCTGAGATGTACAATGCCAATGTCGAAAATTGTGTTGCCGTAACGTCGCAACGAATTAATAAATCCATGAACTTGATATTATATTCTGTTAAAAGTTTTCCACATCGCCCATTTGGCAGAATTTTTGTCCTTTCATGCAAACGATTCAATTCATCGTATAAAACGATCTTAGTTGCATTGACATTGACTACGGCTGCGACGTATACTGAGATCTGTCCTTTATCTTTACTTTAAAATCTATACAGCAATAATAATAATTTTGCAGTAGTTTGCAGCTCATCGCCATTCTGTGAATAACTTTCAACTTCAATTTGTATTTTTCGGCAAAATTCGATTTGTCTCATAATAGTACTTAGTAGTATAAATTATAGCAATAAAAAATACATAACATCGTAGTTTGCATGCAGCGTTTTTGGTACTTGATTTGGGTTAACGATACTGTTCCAGGCTTCACACGCTCGCGGACCAAGAACAATGACATCTCTCGACATGTCCAAGTTAGTCTGGGAGTATTTGTCCGCACCTGCACAATTTAGTTATTTATTTGGAAACATGTGCATTGCCCAATCATGGATGATATTTCATCTATGAGAGTCTGTTTTTATCCTTTGATTTGAACTGAAGTTCAAGATGCGCACAAATTTCTTTCAGCATCGTTATTTTAAAAACAGATAGGTTCTTCTGTTTGTACATGTCACATAAATCACACGCGTCGTGGTATATAGGATATGGCATACGTCGATCTCAGCAAGCATTTTCCACAAGTTGTCCACAAGCATTTCTCTTTGTGCTTTACCTCAAAATGAGGAACTCGTAAACTTACGCATTCGCCTTCATGAAGAACACGTAAAGTTACTATAGTTATCTCCAGTTTCCCCTGCGTCATTAAAGTACTATTTACAGCACTTTTACGTAAAAGTATCGTAATACTAACGAGATCCTATTTGAATTAATTTCCCATAAAGAGTAAAAACTGTTTTTGATAATGATACATTGAAAACATCTTTTCATGTACACTTACGAACAGGACCCGAATGGAGGGAATACTGGCATGGTCTTAGCGGCCTCCAAAATCGTCCCAAATTATGACGGTGGGACGAAGAAATAAACATCATCTTAAACTGATCTTCGGTAAGATTGAACATTCCCGCGCGAATAGCAATTAACTCGTTCTCTCTCAAGTTCGATTTAGAAAGATGACAGTTTGACACTCATATCTTCCTTACAATCAAATAAGCAACTAATCTCCTGTAATCCACGAATTTCACCACAAGAAGTACCACCAACGCCAACAAATGAACAACTTTTCTCCATAATCAAAACTAAACTAGTAAGCTTCTAGAAATATCTAAAAACGGCACTTCTTTGCGTTAATTTTCTGTTTAAGGGAAGCCTCATATATCGATTTTTCCACGAGAAACGTCATATGTTCGTTTGGTTGCAGCTGTGACGTTTCTCAGTAAACATCATGGAAAAATTCAATAGTTTTTTCGAAAGCCTTAACATTTCGGAATCATCTTAATTTGCAGAATAAAAAAATTGCATTCGTAATACCATACATGTTCTATATACGTATACATTTATATTATTACGCCTGGCTTGTGCTAAAATTATCAATATTTCATGCAAAAAAAAGGTGTTTTGAGAAACGTTGGAAATTTTGATGACATATTCTTCACGGAAGCATCGCCAATAGGCGACCGTAGAAAATAGTAAAAAATTACCTTATGCATGTGTACTATATAAAGAACAAAATATCGATAACTATGCGTGACGTTTCTAAGGGGGGTGCGTCTCCAGAGAAACGAACATATGACGTTTCTCATGGACAAAATCGATATGTGAGGCTTCCCTTAATATTTGATATTAATATAATCATTGATATTATTTAAGAAGTAATAAGTTTAAAAAATACTCCAATAATTATTTTTAACAATGGCGCATTTAAGAACAAAAACAGCGTGTACTCATTGCGTCTACTATTATTTTCTGCTATTATTTTCTTGGTTTTTTATTATTAGTTTATAAATTAGAGAAACTTAAACTTACTAATTACCAATTTACTTTTTCGACAACTCCTGAACGTTTGATTAAAAATTAAATTTGCGAGATTAAATTGTTTGTTGAAGAATTAACACGCGAAAAATAACCATCCAGGTAGCAAGTTAACTATGAAGTTTAGTATATTGTTGCTTTCGTAATATAGCGTGTATTCTATTTATGGCACACTCATCAGTACATATTTAATAAACAACGATAATATATTGTACATTATGTTGGCGTGCAACTACTTAGTAATTTTAATCAAGTTTAAAACGATCAATTGTAAAGGCTTTCCAAAAGCTTAAAAAAATTTCAAGGCGGTGTTTGTATTCAAATATAAGAACTTATAAACACTATTTTATATTTATAATAATTGCTGATATAAATTTATAAAACCCCCGCTAGTAACGCTGTCGCCGAACGTGTTTCCGGTTATCACAAACGTAAACAATAGAGCTATTTATAGCCATAATTTATGAATTTTGCACTCCTTCATATTCCTTTTGCCGACAAGTTTTATTGCGAATAACACAACTTTAAGTATTCTACTTTAACCCTAAAAGTGTTTTAGACACCAGGTAGGTTGCACTTTTGAGAATTTTTAGTTTGAATTTTGTTCCTAATCATTAGTTGGTCGGCAAACGAAAATACCGACTTCCTTGGATGGGGACTAGCAAGACCGCCCAGAGGTTGGCGGGGGGCCGGGGCAAATTTCATTTTAGGGGAAAAATTTTTTTCCGGAGTATAAAATTTTTCCGGACGAGTACGTTGCAATTGCTTTCGAGGGACTTTATCTCATTTTTTTATGCCAAAATTCGGTACTTAGCCCAAGAAAACAGATATCTTGTCCTTTGCGCGGAAATATTTAACACACAAAAAAGGCTGGGGCCCAACAAAAAATTTTCAGAGGCCCCCAGCAACTCGCGGCCCAGGGCAATTCCCACCCCCCCTGCCCCCCTCTGGGCGGCCCTGGGGACTAGTAGGCTTAAAATAAGATGTACATTCAAATTCAATTTAACACACATTTGACCCCCGTTTTCGGGGTCAAATTTCAGTGTCGCTGACGTCCAGACAAAAATTCGTCATAACTAAAAAAAAAAGAAAAATTTGGAAATTCTAATATTAGTTTAATACCTTTTAGGACAAAGGTAGTTCATGGTAAAAATATAAAGGAAATCTAATTTTCAACCTGAAACGCTCTGCACGGTTCTTAGTGAAACAGCCACTTAAGTTCTCTCTCTAGATACGGTTTTTATCCTTAGCTTGCCCCTATATGTAACATAAAGTTTTCACCCCTGCCCCTGTATGTGACATGAGGTGTTCACCCTTATATATCAGTGTAAAATAAGATTTATACCCCTGCTTTTATATGTAACATATGGTTTTCACCCCTGCCGGCGCCCCTATATGTAACATGACTCGCATTGGAATTAACTTGCAAATATTATGTCACTTAGTTGAACATTGCGTCATTATGTTTGCCCCTATATGTGACAATGATATAACATCACGTTACCACCCTTACTCGAAAATTTACATATGACTGAGTGCCTTTTGAGCGCCTTAGAAAAATAGAGTGAAGCGAGATCAAGGTTGGTAAAGCTTTGTTGTTTTTAACTTACCTTATATTCTGTTATTTGTTGTGATTTTGAAGCCTTTGTGCGAGCACTGATTATTCATCAGGCGTTTATTTGAAATATATCGCTGAAACTTTAGGTCACGCTATCAAATTAAAATACTTGATTTTTATATACTCAAACTGAAACAGAACCATTGGCACGTACTCAGCTCGCACTGATTATATTCTGTTCGAAAACTTCAAAACTACAGTACATTTCGTCAATAACATGAAATATAAATATCAATATTGGGCAAATAGAATATTGGGCAATATGGCGACGAGTAAACATGCCACAAAGGCGACAAAGCGCGGTGCGCAATCACTAAATAATTCGACTTTAAATACGCCCATAAAACCAGTAAAACGTAACGACACACCGATAAAGACGAATAAGAAAAACGAAGATGAGCCTATCGATTTAAGACAAATACATGATATGTTTCAAGTCATGACCGCTTGGTCATGGAGAAATTAGACACCATTGAAATTCATTGAAGACGATTTCAAAGAAATAAAATCGTCAGTTGAATACGCTCACGCAGAAATCATTGAATTATTAAAGAAAGACAATGAAACGACGAAAACAGAGACAAAAGAAATGAAAAGGAGACTAGAAAATGTCGAACAGCAATGCGCGTCAATGAACAATTTAGTCTCATTGACTTTAAAGCAAGGTCAATGAGAGACAATTTAATATTTTATAATATGCCCGAAAACAAGGATGAGAACATGACAGATGTAATTTTATCTTTGTTGGAAAGTAAATTTGGAATGAAGGAAGCAAAATCCAAAGTAAAAGTTGACAGATCTCACCGTCTAGGAAGAAATAGAGAAGGTAATTCGAAGCCTCGGCCAATTGTAGCGAAGTTCAATTTCCATCAAGGAAAAGAATTTATTATCCGCAATCCCAGATGTCTGAAAGATACGGGATTCAGTGTATCCGAGCAGTTTTCTCAAGAAATCATTGAGAAAAGGAAGCTGTTATATCCTGAACTGAAAAAAGCAAAAAAGCGGGGGGGGGAAAGCAAAGTTGGTGAAGGACAAACTTATTATTGACGGGAAGGAATTCCGACCCCATTCTAACCTGAAGTTCAGGCCCTAATCGCAGAATAGTGCCTGACACAAAACCTGTCTAGACCCAACCTCGTTCCCAGGCTCTTTCCTCTTGTTGAGGAAAGACCCTGGCTGGGGCTGGTCACGTGTCACGCGAATTTCGCTTGGTAAATTAAAATTGTCATTATGATAGGGTGGCAGGGAAGCGCGTTTGGTAAATGACAACTTGTGTAGTTGTGTATATTATAGTTCTGGATAATACAACTTAAATTTGCAACAAGAAATCCTGAAAGATTTCGTGTTTATTATGACACGACTTCCTCCTTTGTATCATTGAGTGTTGGATTACATTAGTCAAACGAGAAGTTGGATCAGATTTCAGTGGACACAAGGCTTTTGGCAAGGGAAGCACGTTTCGCAATAAAAACACAATCAGAAAGTGTAAAAATCTTCTTGATCGATCGAGCAAACGATGTGGTTTAATACGTTGTGACTGTTGTCAGTGATAAAGGGTATCCTGAATCCTGTCCGATACGTGAACCCAACGGATTTGACTTACGTATAGAGATGTGGAATTGCTATAAAACAAGACGCCTGCTCAGCCGTTCACACTGGCCTGAAAATAACGACATACGTGGTATGGTGC